GACTTTCTCAAAAAACTTATTAAAAAAGTTGCTTTGAGTAGCTTTTGAAACAATAAGTTATTACAAAAAACTAATTAATCAAACACTCATATTAGCTATTTAACCAAGTCAAACAACTAACATTGGTCAAATAAGTTAAAATTGGCTGATAAGCTAACTATATTACCAAACAGAGCCAAAGTAAATCTCATCTTGTAGCCATATCCAGCAAAAGATTACAATGTGATAAATCAGTCTAAGTTATCCATAGTTAATCAAGTTAAATCAAGAAGGCTAATAAGTTACTCTCACTGAGTTGAATTTAAAATCTTGTAATTTCGAAACTAATAATCTGACTAATTTGGTCATGTCCTGAAGTATTATTGAAGGAGGGACGTATATATCTCAACTGACCCGCAAGCTTCCAAGTACTTGTACAATTATCAGTTCATGGTATTAGTTTGTATATGTATATGTATAGGTTAGGTTAATTTCTCTCACAACATATACAACGAAGTGTTTGTCTCTATAGGTTTACGCGTACGTGTGAGTTAGGATGGATGTACAGATCCATCGCTGTCTAATTTCCAATGTGAGATTCCATCTTTAAAATATTGCCTCTTTAATTTATTAACAAGTTGCGTACTATACGCAATTATGAAGTTTAATTATATATTTATGGTTTCCTAATACAAACAACTTTGTGATTAAAAAAGATAATCAATTAATTAAGGTGCTTAGCTTGCTTGTCATTAGGGTTACCAGGTTTACTACATGCCACTGCACCACTGTTCTGCCAAATTACATCATGAGGTCAACACTAATATTATTATTGTTCATTACAATTATAACAAAAGCTCATTGTCTTATAAATAAATTATGTATTTATGGCAAGTTTATTTGGAGTGTTTGGTAAATAGTTGTTAACTGATTGAGTTAGTTGATTTGATTAGTTGATAGTATAAGCTGATTTAAGAAAAGCGTTTAGTAAATTAGTTGTTAGTTGATAACTGATTACATGCAAAATGATTTTCTTAAAAAGTTGATCGAAAAAGCTACTTTGAGCAGCTTTTTGAATTTTAACATTTTAGAACAATAAGTTGTTACAGAAAACTAATTAATCAAACACTCATATTAATTATTAACCAAATCAAATAACTAATAGTCATCAAATAAATTAAAATTAACTAGTAAGCAAACTATGTTACCAAACATGTTCTTTGTTTTCTCCTTCATCTAGACTGGACTTCTTGTTAGGTCCGCTAAAACTACAACTCCAATCAACTTTGTTATTAGGCCATTTCAAGTGAACACAATAAGAGGTTTTAGAGATTCGAAAGTCATTCTTTTAATATCAATTCAAGCCGAATTGAAGCGGAAATTCTTTGCTTCAGTTTGGCATGAAATTAAATGTTTAGAGCATATTTGAAATTTTGGAATATGATTTTTGAAAGTCATTTTTTTTAGATTTCCCACTTAGTTTTTGATTATTTAAGGATAATAAAGCTAACACTACTCATTGTGGTTTAAGGAAAAAAAAAAATCATTTTGACCAAAAATATCTTTTGAGTGTTTTTACTCAAAATACATTTGTAAATTCCACTTTCAAACTCGCATCTCCTCCCCTTCCTCTCTCAAAGTGGTGTCAAATGGTTGTTATACCGTGGATCATGGTCCACACAACGCTATGTGAACCATGGTCATCAAATAAAACTATAGTAATATGGCTCGAGGTGATTAGGCACATCAACTTTGTTATTAGGCCATATCGTGGTCTAAGATAAGGTGATTCACTTTCTCCCTACTTGTTTATTATTTGTGTTGAGGGTCTTTCTCTTTTATTACAAAATGCACAGGCTCAAGGCGCTATTCATAGTTGTAGACTGGCTCGTGGTGCCCTTGCTATCTCATATCTTTTCTTTGCAGATGATAGTCTGCTATTCTTTAAAGCAAATTTGCAGGAAGCAGTTGTGGTAAAATAGTGTCTAAGTACTTATAAACTCCTTTCAGGTCATACTATAAATTTTCATAAGCCTAGTGTGTGTTTTAGTAGGAACACTAAGGCGAAGGATAGGGATGCAGTGGTTACTTTATTATTGGGTGCCTCTCAGGCTTTTGATTTGGTAAATACTTAGGTCTGCCCTCTTCTGTTGGAAGAAATAAGAAGATAGTCTTTTCCTATATTGAGGAAAAAATCAAACAAAGGATTGGTTCCGGGAATAAGAAATTGCTTTCACAGGCTGACAAGGAAATACTTCTTAAGCGTGTGGCTCAGGCCATGCCCACTTTTTCTATGAGTGTTTTTCTATTAACTGATTCATTATGCAGTGCAATTGAGAGGACCATGAAATGCTATTGGCTGGGTTCAGGAGGTGTTAATGGAGGTGGTATTCACTTGATGGCCTGTGACCAGTTATGTAAGCCTAAAAGTGTAGGTGGTTTGGGCTTCAAGGATCCGCAGGCGTTCAACTTGGCTATGTTGGGCAAGCAGGCATAGCGTTTTCTCATAAAACCTCAATCCCTGGCTACACAAGTATACAAAGCAAGGTACTTTCCTAGAACCTCTTTTATTGATGCTACTGTAGGAAATAACCCTAGTTATTGTTGGAGAAGTATTATGGATGCCCATGATTTAGTTTGTAGTGGTGTCAGAAGAAGATTGGCAATGGGGATTCCACATTAATTTGGGGTCACCCATGGCTACTTGACGATTCAGACCCCATGATACATACCCCTATTCCTCAACATTTACATGGTTCGAAGGTGTATGGTTTGGTGGATCAAGCCACTAATTCGTGGAATTTGTCGATTCTAGGGGATATTTTCATACCTAGTGATGTAAATCACATTATTATGGTCCTTGTGGCTCCATCTTATGAGGATTCGTGGTACTAGCAATGAGACCCCAGTGGGTGTTATTCTATGAAAAGTGGTTATTGACGCATTATGGGGAATTATAGTCCCACTCCGCTTGGCTTTAGTAAGTGGAATTCAATTTGGAACGTTAAGCCTCTCCCCCCCCCCCCCAATGGAAGACATCTTTGTGGGGAGCTATCAGTCAAATTCTTCCTACCACTACTAATCTACTTATAAGAAGAGTGGAGGTGAGCCCCTCATGCCCAATGTGTGTCTCCTTTCATGAAGACACTATGCACTCCCTCATACAATGTGAATTTGCACAATTGGTTTGGGATGAATCCAACCTCCCTATTGTTTGTGTGACAAGGGATTCCATCCCAAAATGGATCGAAAATGCATTTAGTTTGTTGGCAGGGGATGTCTTTGTTAAAGTGCTAGCTATTCTTTATCATATTTGGCAGGTCCGTAACTCTTCTGTATGGAATGCTTGTATGCAGCGGCCGATGCAGATTTGGAGGGAAGTGTCCAGTGCCATCTCCAGCTGGAATAATGCGTCCGGGAATTCTGCTGTCTCAACAACCGCGTTTGGAAGTTGGAGCCCTCAGCTGCTTCTTCGACGCCAGCTTCTCACCGACTACTAGGTCAGCTTCCTATGGCGCAATCCTCCGCACTGCCGAGGACGGCTTCGTAGCAGCGTCGAACGGACCGCTCCCGTTTTGCACAGATGCTCTTATGGCAGAATCAATAGCTTGTAAGGAGGCTCTATAGTGGCTCAAGGACCGTGGCTTGTCAACCGTTGCCCTCTACACGGATTGTTCGAACCTACACCGCTACCTCACGACTACCAGTATCAGACCCAAGTCTCATGTTGGGATTGTCATTCCAAATCATTTAGCATTTAAGTCTTTGTTTATTGCTTGTTCCTTTCATTTAGTCTCTAGACATTTTAATTTAATAGTTCATACTTTAGCTTCACAAGCCTCTTAGCAAGTTAGTTCTTTGTACTGGGACTCGGTCCCTCCTGACTTTGTTTCAGCTCTTCTTCATTAATCTATGCTCAGCTGGTTTTTGCTTTCAAAAAAATGATACTTTAATGTTACTATAATGAAATTAGTGTGTGTGGAAATTGAAACTAAAAAACATAGCCCATTCAATAACATATATTGTTAAATGAAACTGTAGTATAATTATAATGATACTTTGGTGTTGCTATAATGAAACTAGTGTGCGTGAAAAATAAAACTAAAATCCAGAACCAGACAATAACATATATTGTCAAATAAACATGAAATGTAATTAAAATAATACTTTAACATTACTATAACTAAACTAGTGTGTGTGTGGAAATTGAAACTAAAACAATAGAGCTCATGCAATAACGTATATTGTCAAATAAAACTGTAGTAAGATTAAAATGACACTTTGGCATTACTATAATGAAACTAGTGTGTGTGAAAAATGTAATTGAAAAACATAACAATATTGTCAAATGAAACTAAAGTGTAATTAGAATGATACCTACTTATGGTCCATGTTGCTACATGGACCATGATCCACAGTAAAATTTGTTGGTGTCAAATGAGTAGGCCTACTCGTCATCTACATAATTAATATTTGGACTAGACATCTCACTTGCTTGTTCAAAACAAAAGGCCTCATGTTCAAGTCTCATCCCAATCAAGGACGTTGGCATTATTGTGTTTAACATTTACTATGTATAAGTTAGAATATCTGAGAGTATGAACTTCAGTAATTCATTCACCGTAAACCCAAACAATAAATAGAGTACAGGGCATGAAAGTAGGAAACAGTTACACCTAAACCACGAGACTAGGCCAATACAACAAATATAACAACGAATAGATTAAGTCTTAACACGCCCCTGCAAGATTGAGGCGCCATCAGTGAGACTAAGCTTAGACCAAAACGCAGCGAACAACCGATGACCAAGTGGTTTAGTCAAGAGATCAACAACCTGCTCAGCGGACTGGACATAACTGACTCGCAGGGAGCCAGAAGTAACCTGTTCACGAATAAAAAAGTAATCTAGAGCTAAGTGTTTCATTCGTGCGTGAAAAACTGGGTTTTTGCACACATACGAGACACTCAAGTTATCAGTAACCAACAATGGTGTGGACCGCATACGAAACCCAAGTTCACACAACAAACTCTGGACCCACATGACTTCAGCAGCAGAATTAGCAAGTGCCCGAAATTCGGCTTCCGTGGAGGACCGAGATACCGAACGTTGTTTCGCAAACTTCCAGGAGATAATATTAGAACAAAAAAAAAATACACAATAGGTCATGGTATAACACCCCCCATCACGAACACCACCCCAATCCGAGTCCGAATAAGCCACAAGAGAAAGTGGATAACCACGCTGAAAATGTAGGCCAAAATGCAGTGTACCTTTCAAATAATGCAGAATCCACTTCACAGCTTGCTAGTGACCCTTAGTAGGCAATGCCATAAACTGTGCCAAGCGATTCACCGCAAATGAAACATCTGTTTTGGTAATCACAAGGTATTGCAAGCGACCAATAACGTGGCGATAAGCCATTGAGTCAAAAGCCACGTCATCGGCACCCAAATCAACGGAAGTACACATCGGAGTGGACACCGGCTTCGCCCCCATCATGCTAAACTATTCCAGAATGTCAACCACATATTTACTCTGTGACAAAAACAAACCAGTCGCAGTAAAAACCATTTCAACACCTAAGAAATGATACAGGTGCCCCAGATCCTTTAGGGAAAACCATTCCGTGAGATGTACAAAGACCGCGGTGAAAGCTTCATTATTGCCTGTAACGAATATGTCATCGACATACACCAAGAAATATAAAGTGACATTACAGGTACAATAAATAAACAAGGAAGAATCTGCCACAGACTTCTTAAAACCAAACTAAACGAGAAAATTAGACAATTCAAGATACCAAGCCCGCGGGGCTTGCTTTAACCCATATATCGCCTTCCTCAACCTACAGACATGAGCAAGCTTCTCCTCATCAACAAAACCCGCTGACTGCGCCATATAGACTTCCTCATACAATGTGCCATTCAAAAAAAAAAAAAAAATACACAAGTAGAGGCGATGGTGCGACAATGGAAACGGAACGAAGAACCAATTCGTGAAACGGGAACTCGTTTGGCACAAACTCAACATGTCGGGAAACATAGACCCGACCATTGGATATTTCTAAACACCTACAAGTAAACTGATTTAACAAATAACCCAAGAAAACACGAGGCAAAGACTTTGGACACAACTTGGCTGGAAAGTATGGTTTTAACCATGGATAACACAAACACCCGAACAGCCAAATTTTCTGGTAATTCGGGTGTTTATTGAACAACTTCTCATATGGTGAAGAATTATTAAGAATTGCAATAGGCATGTAATTTATTAGGTAAACTGTTGTTTGAAAAGCATAGGACCAATACGAGGAACGCATAGACGCATAATGCAATAACGCCATACCGCTCTGGACAATGTGCCTATGCCGTCGTTCAGGCGGACCATTGTGCTCCGGAGTGTGAGGAGGCGAAGTAAAGTGAGAAATCCCCAGACTATTAAACGTAGGAATTAACTTAATATATTCACCCCCATTATCATAAAAGACCGAAACAATTTTATAGTCAAAATAATTGTCTACCATACGCTTAAACTAAAGGAAGACAACGTGAACTTCTGACTTGAATTTTAGAGGAAAAAACCAAACATATTTAGTGTAGTGATCGACAAAATTAATGTAGTATTTGAAACCATCCACAGAAACCGTTGCTGAACTCCACACATCCGTGTAAATTAATTGCTACAGTCGAGTGCTAGACATGGAACTAAAATAAAATGGCAGTTTGTGACTTTTATTAATGCGACAAGAATTACATGAAAACGCAATAAGCTCTTCAGGCTTAAAGCTTACATTATTGTTTCTAAGAATACAAGCTAGAATTTTAGTACTGGGATGACCGAATTGGTGATGCCACTTTGACAATGACGACTTGGTAGTGACATTGATTTGAGACCGTTGGATTGGAAGACTGTAGATATCACTCACGACCGGACCCCACACGAGAGGTGTTCCCAATTGCCGATCCTTAACAACAAAATGTGTGTCAAAGAATTCAACCGAGACAGAGTTAGTTTTACTGAGTTTAGACACTAAAACGAGATTCGTTTGCAGACTCGAAACACAAAACACATCAGACAAGAGAAGAGATCAATTGTTTGAAGGTAAAGAACTGACCCAGTATGTGAAATATGAAGAGACTTACCATCGCCCAGGATTATCTCATTAAGCCCTGTGTAGTCGGCCAGTGTCTAAAGAGACATGGCATCATTCACAGTTTGATGCCAGGCCCCATAGTCCATGAGCTACGGTTGAGTGGGCATTGCAGTAATAGACGTAGTATGAACTGCAGGTGATTGACGACCGGTTCTTTGCGGCTCGAGCACAGCCACATTATTTTCTTTAAAAAACATGGCTTGTTTCTGGCAAAATTTGGTGTCTTGCCCGGGATACTCGTAGTAATTACAATATTGAGCGAGACGGTTGCCGGTATTCCTCATCTGGTTCTGTCGCCCATTGGAAAAGGCAAAACCACCTCTGCCACGCCGATTGGCACTTTGAGATTGATTGTCAGCGAGGCTATTAAAATGGCATTGTGTGGCATTAGCAATAGTCATATGAACATGCGGGGCAACTTTGTTCTCCTTTAATAGTCTCTCGTAGTCAGTGAGGACATCATGCAACTCACCATATGAGATGGCATCCGTTCGTACGCAAAGAGTAGCCACAATGGAGTTATATTCATCACAAAGTTGCGTGAATATATGTACCACGAGGTCTTCCTCCGTAACCGGACTTTGGCAAGAGCTAAGTCGTCGGCAATTGCTCGCATATCCCTCATATACGATTCAATAAACTGGTTGGCTTTAGGGTTCTTTGCTAACTTCTCTTTTAGCGAAACTATACGACCTCGAGAAGCAGCGGCACAACTGGTGGACAACCGATTCCATGTGTCGCACGCAGACGACGCGGATGAAATAACAGGCTATAAGATATTTGAAAGACTGCCAGGATAGCACTCAAGATGATTTCATCATGTCTGAACCAAGCCGTGTAGGCCAGATTCAATGTAGTGTGAGCTTGATCGGAGTACTTCACTGGAGCGGCAGTAGAACCAATGACATAACCAGAAGGTCAAACCCTATGAGCGTAGACTCCACTTGTTTCTTCCAAATAGGAAAATTACATGAGGTGAGTTTGATTGGTAAGTGAATTGGAGCGAGCCATGGCTAACGAAAAAGGGAAGAGGGGAAGGAAAAGAAAATTCTCACTAAAGAGTTGGCTGTGATACCATGTGAGAATATGAACTTCGGTAATTCATTCACCGTAAAACCAAACAATAAATAGAGTACATAACATGAAAGTAGGAAACAGTTACACCTAAACCACAAGACTAGGTCAATACAACAAATATAACAAAGAATATACTAAGTCTTAACAGAATATAATATTAAAAAAATTCGAGTTGGTATGAGTTAGACCAAACCAACACAGTAAAATCTTGGCCCAACTCAACCTACTGTCCAATTTATTTATTTTAAATTAAGTATTTACTTTTCTTTTAATTCTCAAGTTCTATAATTCAGAGTTATTGCATTTACCAATTTAAAATAATTTATGTTTTATAATAAAAAAACATTGTAATAGATTTATGTTATTTATTTCTGTAAAGGTAAACCAAATAGAAATAAGACAGTTGTTTTACTTGCAGTCAAACATATGAAAAATAAAAATATTTTTCAACAGACCCTTAGTTTTTTTTTTTTTTGAAAGCAAAGCAGAAATAGAATCTGGCGGGATCGCATCCAGTACATAGTGCAAGGCTGAGAAAAGGCTGCTGAAGCAAGAGTATGAGCAAGAAAATTAGTCGATCTTGGCACTAAACAAATGCATAAATGAGAAAAGGAGGCCATAGCCTCACGACAGTCATTAATAACAAAACCAGCATATGAACGAATAGCATTACGAGAAGAGACCAAAGAGTTTCGGAGCTCCGAGCAGTTGGTGAAGAGATCAACAGACAACACTTCCCGATCCTTAAGCTAAGAAAGCACTTTCCTACAATCCATGGCCTCAGCCATTAGCGGCGAGTAGCATTGAGCTAAGCTGCCGCTTACCGCTGCCGAGAAGGCCCCATTCGAGGACAGCAGAACAGCACCGAACGAAGCCTCCCCCGATCCTGGACGGAATTCGGCATCTACGTAGCATCGCGGACAGCTTGATGCTGGTTGTGGCACGGGTGAGACAGAAGCGGGTGACGACGCCATTGGCCTGCGATGGACCTATTTCCAGCATTGCAGCGAAGACAAGGTCGTCCGCCACACCTTCTTCGCCAATGGCAAGTTCCTCTCCCAAACAGCTGAATTTCGGGCTCTCCAAATATGATAGAGTACTGCCATTATCACACCAACATCCTCTTGAGTCATATTGTGCATTACATTAGCAAACCACATAGAAAAAGTATCACCAATAATATTTGCAATAGATAAGGAAGCCTCATTCCAAACAAGCTTGGCATAATCACACAAAATAAATGTATGCATGACATTGTCATGTTCAACACCACACATTGGGCATGTAAGATCCACCTCCACTCTTCTTATAACAAGGTTTTCAGTAGTAGGGAGAATATTTTTGAGAGCTCTTCATAAAAAAATCTTCCACTTGGGAGAGACATTTATTTTCCAAAGGGCTATCCATCTATCAAAGTTCCCTAGGCTATCAACAAAATCTCCAACAATGCGCTTATAACCATTTTTCACTGAGTAACACCCCTTTGGGTCTCCTTGCCAAAACTAAGAATTCACGTACCCTGGGCTTATAGGGATCATAGAAATGCGGCTCACATCAGCAGGAATAAAAATGTCAGTCAAGATAGAATAATCCCATGAATTAATATCCTGGTCAATCAAACCTAAGACTCTGGATCCCTGCAATTCAGGAGGCATATGAGTCTGAACCAAGGGATTTGGGTCATCTGGTAACCATGGGTGATCCCAAATTAGAGTATCTTTACCATCACCAATTCTGCGCCTAACACCTCTGCAAATCAACTCATGGGCAGCCATTATACTACGCCATCAGAAACTTGGATTATATCCTAGAGTAGCATCCATAAAAGATGTAGTAGGAAAATACCTTGCCTTATAAACTCTTGCTGCTAACGAGTGGGGATTAGTGAGGAACCGTCATGCCTGCTTACCTAACATTGTCAAATTAAAAGCACGAAGATCTTTAAAACCCAGGCCACCAAACATTTTAGGGACACATAACCGATCCCAAGCTTTCCAATGAATGCTTCCATCCCCACCAGAACCGCACCAATAACGATTCATAGTCCTCTCAATGACCCTTAGTTTAATTTTAATGAAATTTACGTTAAAACCAATTAACACTTGTATATGCCAACCTCGATATAAAAATTTTGTTATTAAGCATAATATACTTGTATGAAGAGAATTTTGTGTGTATGTGACTATGTGTGTTTGCATTGGTACGTTAAGATTTAGGTGAAGAAAATGATATGAATTCAAGTTAATTACAAACACATCACTGACTTTAAAAAAAGATATACAAAAGTATGCAAAATGTTTATTCAAGGAAACTACTTGCAACGAAAATGATATGCATTTTAATCAATCAAAGTGAATAATATGTATTAGATTTCGGTGGCCTAAGAAATTTTGTATGATATAGCCAACTACCTAAACTCGCCTAATCATTGGAAAGCAAGGTCAAATATAATTTCAACTTACTCATGAAATTCAAAATATGGCAAGAAAATTGTGGATAGAGCTCACCCAAATTCTATCAAGTTGGTTAAAAGAAACATATTAGCACTATAGTTAGATACTTTTTTTTTTTTTAATACAAAGAAACAACAAATAGCAAAAACTATGAATGTGTCACACTCATACAATTAGATTTAAGTAGGGGACGTATTCCAGTACAAGTGTATGCAAATTATTGAAATTTGTTACCATCTAATCGGTGCAATAATTCACCTTGATCTCGAATGCTTCACATAGTAAATTTTTAGTTGGATTCCTCAAATAGCCTCATAACATTAAAATGAGAATTCCTAATATTCTACCCCCGATATGATCTTCCCAACAACGACAATTGAATTGCTTTACAACCCCAATAATCAATTTAATCCTTCGATTGTCTATTTATATAAACTTTCGTTTCAAAGAAAAATAAAATTGAGGGATAAACTTGACTATTTTACACCTTAAGAGACTAGATTTACAACATGATAAAATAATTAAAGTCCAAATTAGCAAAAATTGAAAATGAGAGACTAAATTGCATAATGATCAGTAATTAAGAGACCAGAAGTGTGTTTATCCCTTTAAAACTAAGCTATTATTAAATATCATCTTAACCCTAAGAGAATAAGTGTCTATTTAAGTGGTAACAACCTAGAGACGAGAACCACTTGTTTATGAGTTTGAAATTCACTTGAAGGTCGTGGTGTAAATCCTTACTTGTAATTTTGTTGTATCTTTTTGTAGGGTGGCTTGTCCTTGTTTGTTTAGAGGTGTTGTATTTGGTTCTTATTATTGTGCTTCAAATCTTGGGGCCATCTTGGATTAATTATTAATTGCATCTGATATATAAAATAAGGTTTTCAATATCAATTATTATTGTGTGGATCATGGTCCACACAAGCTGTGTGGATCATATTTTGTATACTGTAAAATAATATACATTCAGTATAAAAATAATATACTTTTAATATATTAAAAATATACATTGTATTCAGGGGATGTACATTATTTGTGTAATGAGTGTATATTATATTATATAATGTACATTCAGTACACAAATAATATACATTTATTAATATATTAAAAATATACTTTTTGTTATGGTCCACACAACACTGTGTGGACCATGTTCTACACAATAATTTGCCTTTCAATAGTACTCCGCATAATTTGCAACAAAAAGAAAAAGAAGGGTAGGATAGGATTGTCTCTAGTTAATTTTCTTGCCTGGTAGTAATCAATAATATGGAAATAATTGTACTCGGAACATTATGACAATAAGATTGAGAATGACATCTTCAATGATTAGGGTAATATAGTCTAATGATGATAATTAAGGGGGATTTGCTAATTAAGATCTT